TAAATCAATTAGAATCTATATGAAATTGATGATCATCAAATATTTATTTCAAATGAAATTCAAAGTTAGCTTTAATACATTCATATAAATATCAAATCTTTATATATTTTATATTTAAAAAATCTATACATTGTCTTTATCTGTAGATCATACATATGATGACAAGTAATGAATATGTTTCAAGAATATATAACGAATAAATTGTTACTCTTATAAAAATTTACTTTGAACATTACAATAAGTATCTTATTTTACTCTATAAATCACAGATTGTTTATAATTAATAGTTTGTTTCCTTTGTTTTTTTTTTATATTTATACATGCATTTTGTTCATTTATCTTTTTTGAACATATATTAAAAATTGAAATTTTAATATCTTGGATTTTAGGGTTCAAATATTTAATATCTTTTATGTTTTTTTGTTTTAGTAACATTTATAAACCAAGAAAAAATGAAAGCTCTTATTCTTGTCGGTGGTTACGGAACACGTTTACGTCCGTTAACACTTACAAAACCGAAACCATTAGTTGAATTTTGTAATAAGCCTATGGTATTACATCAAATTGAAGCATTAGTTCAAGTATATATATATTCATATTGAATTATTTGAAATATTCTTCGTTCTTTTTTGCTTAGGTTGGTGTTACACATGTGATTTTAGCCGTTAGTTACTTATCAGATATGCTTCAGCGAGAAATGGAAGTAGAAGCCAAACGATTAAATATAAAGATAACACTTTCTCAAGAAACAGAACCATTAGGAACAGGTTTTAATTTTAAACAATAGTCTTTTCTTTTCGTTCTAGTTTTTCTATGATGATCTTTTGTTTTTATTTAGCTGGCCCATTGGCATTAGCACGTAATCAACTTCAAGGAGATATTAATCCATTTTTTGTACTTAACTCTGATGTTATATGTGACTTTCCATTTGAGGATATGATGAAATTTCATAAACATCATCAATGTGAAGGAACTATTTGTGTATGTATAAGGAGTTTTATTTCAAAATCAAGGATTAATTTATATATATATATACATGGTGTTTCAAAAGTCCGAACAAAAAAACAACCGTGTATAGCCTCTCAACAATTCAAGAGATTTGAATTTTTTTTCCACAGTTTGATCGTGTACTCGTTCAAGCTTTATTCAATATATATCAGATCAAATAGTTACACCTAAAAAGTCACAATAAAATTAAAAACTGAATTTTAACATAGAAATTTTTTCAATAGTAGGTTTTATTCTCTAATATTTACTGTACGAACTAACGCGTTTTGAAGGTTCCAACAATATTTTATAGAGATATCTGTGTACGAAACATGGTCGAAGTCAAATTTAACTCTGATTTTATTGGCTCGAACTTTCTTTCATATTCATAAGCCTTGGTAAGACATTATTAGAGCCTCTAACATATATTAGTTTGTAGAGTAAATATCACAGAATAAGCCGTATTGTTCAAAAAAGCTCGTATGTTAAAACTGAGTTTTTGTCAAAAAATTTAGCTTACATGATTTAGAGCATTAATTAGTTACCATTGTAAAATGAAAACTGCAAAGTCGAATTCGAATATCATACGTCAACTGAGTCCTATATTAGAACCGTATTTCAGTGAGTATTTGAGAGTGATACTGTCGATAATCGATCACATTCTGGAAGATCTACGGCAATCATTATAGAAAAAGCCAATCTAGTTAAGGATTTCTGTAAAAATGAATCAGGATCACGTATTCAATTTACTGCACAAGTTTGCTTATTACCATAAACAACAACATACCAGATGATGACAAAATATTTCATATTAAAGTCATACAAGATACACTTCAATTCTACGAAGAAGAGTTACGTAGACCGAACACTTGATTCTGACTCATTATTACAAGCGTCAATAACTTCATCAAGTTTTTCTCAAGTAATTCCTCTACGGTCTTCTCCATTGTAATCGGTTTTTGACAGTACGGTTTCACATAATCGTTGAAATATATTTTTTGCTGGCGTGTTTATGCAGAATTCGACTTGCAACTTTCGATTGTCAATGAAATTATTTTAATTCTGACTTCTGCAAACATAAACATCTTATCTAAAATATATTGAATACAACTTTAATAAATATGTGATCAAGCTATAAAAAAAAATCATATTTAAAGCCATTGAATTACTGAGTAGCTAGTCGCTTTTTTTCTTTCAGAGACCCTTGAAATATTCTGTATAAATTGTAATTATATAGGTAACTAAAGTTGAAGAACCATCAAAATATGGTGTTGTTGTCTATGAACAAGATACTGGTAAAATTGAACGATTTGTTGAAAAACCACGTCAATATGTTTCGAATAAAATTAATGCTGGTTTATATATATTCAACTCATCTATACTTGATCGAATTGAAGTAATTAATTGGATGTATTTAATATGTTATGAAGATTAAAAAATTCTTTTTTAGTTACGACCTACATCAATTGAAAAAGAAATTTTTCCAGCTATGGCTGCAGATAAACAATTATATGCATATGAACTTAAAGGTAAAATAATATAATTTTTTTTTAAACTAAAAATAACAGAACAGTTTAATCATACAAAAGAAAACTTTAAAACTATTGCATATCGAATTAATTTGAAATTGAATCAAAGTATTGTATAGATTCGTATACTAACCAGAGAATGTCTTCTAATATCAGATGTCCATTGATGTCGTGTTTTGATTACATATCGATTTCCAAGAGATAAAGGAAAATCTAAAACGATTCGTATCAAATTTTTATAAGATTAGATCAGTTCGGTCCGATTTCAAAAAGAATATGACCCGATTCCATGTCTGTGAAATAGAGAAGTTTGATTTCAAATTTTCTAGATAAGCAAGTATATCTTTCTTGAGATATTGACAACGCAAGTAAAATTGACTATCTCTCCAATGTTCATATTATCTCAAGAAAAATATTTTTATTTATCTTGAAAATTTTAGGACATTCTAATCAACACTAGCTTTGTGTTTAGGTAAACCTCCGATTGAAATTCATTATTTCGAAAGAATACTTTTTATCTATAAAAAAAATCTTGTAAAGCCAAGACTATGAACTAAGATCCTGAGGAACATTCTCGAATCCGGAACGTTCTACCGGACAGAACATTCAGAATACAGACGCGTGGAAAAAGTTTATTGCGCAGGATTCTACACGAGATTCAAATCTGTTTTGGGTTGTCATAATATCCGAGAAGTCAAGATCAACGTCAAATATGAGGTTAAATGATGTCTGAAACTCAAATATTTGTTTTCTTGTTAGATATTAGAGAAATTATCAGTGAGATCAGTATTACAGATTTAATGAAAGCTAATTGTTATGTTTAAGTTAATCATTTTTTTTTCTTTCAAAGGTTTTTGGATGGATGTCGGTCAACCAAAAGATTATTTAATTGGTATGAGTTTATATTTAAATTATGTACGGAATTCAAACCCAGAACGATTATCCCGTGAAAATGGAATGGTCGGCAATGTTTTATTTGTATATATATATATTTAACTATTTCTTTACATTTGAATGATTAAATAAAACAAAAAATTTTGTTTTTGGTAGGATCCAACAGCAAAAATTGGTGAACGTTGTCGAATAGGACCCAATGTTGTCATTGGACCTAGAGTAATTATTGAAAATGGTGTTTGTTTGAAAAATTGCACTGTACTAGCAGATTCATTAATTAAAAGTCATTCATGGATTTCGAATTGTATTATTGGTTGGAGATGTACAATTGGAAAATGGGTAAATTCTTGAATCGATTGAATTAAATTTGTTTTTTAATTAAATTTTTTGATTTATTTAGGTGCGTATGGAAAACACAACTGTACTTGGACTTGATGTATCGGTACAAGATGAATTGTTTATTAATGGTGGTGTGATATTACCACATAAAGAAATTAGTGAAAGTGTTTCAGAACCAAAAATTCTTATTTAATATTAAATATAAACTTTATTTATTTTATCTTTATCGCAAATAATAGTTATATTATTTTTGATTATGAATCTCTCTTTCTTTCTATTCTAACCAATGTCTAATTTATTTCAATTTATTGAATTTTTAAAAATAATTATTATCTAATATTTTCTGTTTTGTTATGATTGAGTCGGGTCACTTTGACTAAATATTTTTTATGTGATTTCATTGAGTACAATTGTTATTTTTTTTTTGTTTTGTTACATTGATTGGTTACGGTTTTTTTCTGTTTCATATGTAATAAAAGTACCATGCAACACAAAACTGTAAATAGGGCAAGCTTGATTTATAGGTTTTTTTTTCTTTACTTTCTTTCAACTAATAAAATGTTTTATTTGGCAAATACGTCACGCCTTATTCCGCGATTTTTATGTTTCTTTTTTCTTTCGCAGGGTGAGCAATGATAAAATGATGTTATTCTTTATAAAAAATGTGAAGTTTAATACTTAAATAATCAAAACATAAGAGATGAGTGAAATACGATGACTAATTGGTAATTTTTTTTTACAAAAAAAATCAATAAAAAGGTGATGCGATGTTAGCGACTCTTTTTATACAATGAATTATATTTGTTTATCAAAACGTCAGTCGGCCACTAGTTACTAATAAAAAAAAATGCAAAATTACTTTTCTTTCGTCTGCTGTTTATCCGTATTTATTTATCAAATGTTTTACTCATCTGTACTATTTTTCTTTTCCTTTCCATATTGTTGATACATTGATGACGTTCTGTTGTCGTTTTTCTCTTCGCGTGTTATTTCCTTTTTTTAAATACATTTTCGAATATGAGCAAAAGATCAAAAGGTATTATTTTTTTTTAGATTGATCTTGTAAACTATTAATTATTATAAAAAGGAGAAATACATCGAATTTTATTCAAAATCAACTTATTGAGTTCTATCTAAGTCAGTTTATTTATTATGGACGATCCAGAGCCAGATCTATCACGTATGTCATATTTTATTCATATAAAAAAAAAATCTTCCTACTTCCGTCTTTTAAAAGATTTTAAGACACCTATGCTAACACCAGTTGTTAGTGATGCAAATCGATCAGACGAAGATTCAGATGTGCAAGTAATTGGTTTTTTTTATTATTTGATTCCAATTAAAAAACATATTTTGCGTTAATAGTGTTCAAAATCGCAAATAGATTATCAACGTATCGTTGATCTTACAAGAACTTTAGGTGTACATGCAGATCTCAATTATTTATTAGATGATAATGATTGTACGTATTAATCTCGCTGAATTTACATAAGAAATATTGAAATCATTTTAATTACGTCATATATTAGATTTTGAATAAGTTTCTTTTTTAATATTTATTTAGGTGAAAGTGAAACCGAATCTGATAGTCAAGAAAAACAACCTACAGAAGCCACTGATGATAGTACAGTCTTCATTCATTTTATATATTCACAAATAATATGAAATAATATTCTAGGTAACGGTCTTAATCAATTACAGAAATATCCAGTTGAGAAAACCATTGATAGTTTGTATTACTATTATGATTCTTCTAATACTTTTTTTATTTCACTCGTGTTATAGCATCTCTTCGTTCTCAAACCTCACAAGAACGTGATTGTGATATTCACTCAAGTGTACCGGAAACTATATCATCAGAAAACAGTTTTTCGGGTATTATACCAGATATAGATACTGACTATGAATCAAAACGGACTGATATCTATGGAGAAAGTTTCTGTGTACCTTGTACAGTTAAAATAGATGAAGAAGATGGTAAAATAACACTTGAATTTCATTTTTTTTTATTAGTTTTCTCGATTAGAAATCTTATTGATCAAACAAAAATCAACGACATGCGTGATAGAATATGCTGAACCAAAGAAAAATAAAAATGACATTGGACATATTATGGTTAGTTATAATCATTCAACAAAACCTTTATGTTCAAAAATTGCTAGAGAATTAAAAGTAAACAAAAATATAATCAAATTATTCTTTGTTTTTCAATAATCATTTATATTTAGAATTTAAATTATTCTGTTTGGATTGATCAAGATGATATATCTGGTGATATTCTAACATCTATGGCTTCTGCTGTTGAAAATGCATACGTTGTTTTAATGGCAGTTAATGAAAACTATTATAACAGTCGATATTGTCGATTAGGTATAGGTTCATTAATCATGATATTTTTCTGAAAACATATTTTTCTTTATAGAAGCTGAATATTCTGTTGAACGTAATAAAGCATCTATTCCGATGTTAATGCAAGCAGGTTACAAAGCAGCTGGTTGGCTTGGAATTATTAATGGATCAAAATTTCAAATTGATTTCAGTCAACTTCCATTCGAGGAAGCATTCAATTTACTTAGACGTGAAATAGAAGCTGTTCGAATTTCTCTAGGAGCTGATGAATATGATCGAACACGTAATTACTATCTACTCATTGTTTGCTATTAATTTTTGATTTCGTTTGTTCTTTTTTAGGTTCGATGCATACTTCTAATTGTCATTCTATGACAACGATGAGTAGTTGTTGGACTCCTATTGTAAACGTTAACGAATGGAATGCCGATGATGTGATTGAATGGTTAAATCGACAAAAACTTGAAATGTAAAATATTTTTTTTACGACTTCTCTCTTACAATTTCTTTTTAATTCTTTCATTTATTTTTAAGATTTCAAAATGCTTTATCACGTTTTACTGGATCAACACTTTGGCAATTGTATAAAATAAAATTTGATGTAAATATAAACATATATATCCAATTCAACTTAACTTAATTGATTTATTACTTTTTAGTCTGCAACAGATTACTATCGAACAGTTGAATCATTACTTCCATCGACAGCACCTGATAGACTGTTTAATAATTTAACATTTAATGCGGCACTTGAGTCACTTTTTTCGTCATCACCTCAATCAATACATCGACACTAGATTTTTTTTCTGTGATTTTAACTGGTGTTTTTTCTTTTTGTTATTTGTAATTATATTGTCTTGAAAACAAAGTATAGACGAATGATTAGTCTTGTTTTTTTTGTTAACTTTATCTGGAATGTGATAAAAAGCTGAATCTATTTTTACTTTTTTAAAATAAAACAGTGTTTAGATTTGTAAGATGTGGAAAACCTAAAAGTTGAGTGAGTTTTATTTTTAATTTATTTATAAATGCTTTCATGGATCGTGATAATTTGGTTCGAAAAAATGTACATCGTATGTCAATTAGGTCACTTGCTCATGAGAAAAAGTTCGAGAAATCAATAAAATTGGACATAAATGAGTATAATTCACTTTCTTTTCAATAAGTCTCAAGTTTCGATTAGGTAGTTTTTCGATATTCTTTCAAAGTATGTTATTTTAATTCAGAAAAAAAGTCGCGTAGAAATATATGATTCATGTATATTATTGGTTATTCAAGTAAAACATACTATTTGTAATACATAATTTTGAAATATATGTATATAGGCATTTTTGATAATGTATTTATTTTTTTTTAGGAAGGAGAAGAGTTTATTTCTTATCTTATGGGCAATAAAAGATTTCATACTATAAAATAATTTGTTGGATTCCTTTTTGTTGACTTTGGTTTATTGTGAAGATAATTCGACATATTTTTTGTTTTGGTAGGAAGAGTGTAAATAAATGACTGTATATGACAACTTTTATACCGTATCTAAATTCAAAATCAAGATAATTAATCATATGAGAGTCATCATAACACATTGCATCGAATCACATGCATTTTATCAAAGCTCTTTCCTAGGTACAACCAATCTCAAGTGAGTAAGAGAGCAAAGACACAGTTCTAAATAAAATACTGAACAGAGTACACATTTATAGCATTTATTACATATAAATTTGCTCAAATACATGTAATTCGATGCAGCTTTTTATGCTAATTTCAAAGTTATTACTTATTTTGCTTTTCGATTCAGATCAAATAATAAGGTTGCCCCATATACAATCATTTTTTTATAGTTTTGTTACTAATATGAGAAAATATAAAACTATCTTAACAATAAAATATAATTTAAAAAAAAGAACTCAATAAATTACTTGGTAGTTTGAGATATTTTATTGTCAATGAGATAAGACATTAGCTGTTATCTTTTTTCAAAAAAAAAAAAAACCTAAATAAACTTATTAAAGTGCCTATAAACATATAGTCTAAGGTTATCTATTACAAATAAAATATTTTATTCTAGCAACCGACAGTACACACATATTATATGTTTCTATTAGACTTTTTATACCGATATAGAATATAAGATTTTGACAATGTTTAGAAAAGCTAGAAAATAAAAATTAGAGACTTGTTGCAAGAAAAGTAAGTTTCAGTCGTATATATATGATCTTATTGGTGTCTTGAACTTTTCTGTAATGAGTGATTGACGTAATCAAACTATAGTGTACATTTCTTTTTGTAATCAGATGATCATTTTCTAAGGAACTATTTATATAATATATTAAAAATAAAATTCTCTTGAACGTTGCATAAACCACACCTTTTTGTTTTTTCAATCAATTTTTTTTAAAATGATTCAAACCATTGTTTTTTTTTTTTTTACTTCTCTAAATCTATATAAATATACAGCCGCTGATAGGGTAGATAGACATCTATCAAGCTTTTTTTTTATTTTTGTTTTTTTTTTCTGTGACTGTGTATTCAGAACTATAATGTACACCAATAGAAAAGGCAATACATGACGCATATATGGAGAGTGGTGTAATTCTTTTTCGTTCTTTGCTTTGCTTTGCAATATCATGAGATTGTTTTTTTTAGGGCGACATCAGCAAGGTAGTAAGGGGCAGCAATGACAGGGCGTAAGAATAAAAAAAAAAAGTTTTTTTTAATGTAGAAAAGTAACAAGAGGGGTTGCAGAATACATAAAAAGACGATATAACGTCATTTGTTTTTCTCTCGATGGTAAAGTGAAGGGCTCACAACACAATAATTTTCTTTTAAAATAAAATACATAGTAACACATAACAAAAACTCGATATATTACTTTTTCTTATGTGTCATACTTCGCGTTATGGTTGATTAATTCAGTAAAAATAGAAAATGGATTGTTTTATTCGTTGCTTTTAGATTAATTTATTGATTAATTTTATTCATAATGAATATGGACGAGAACTTAGACTTGGACATTCTGGTAGATTCGTTGAATTTAACTGGTCAACGACAGCCATCAGTATTGTCAGATCTATCCGATTCTTTGCTTAATGATCAGGTAAACTAGAATGAAAAGATCAAAATTTGATTGCTAGTTCTTATTTCGTTTTGTTTTTCAAAAGATTCTTGGTGGATTTGTCTTTCCCGACGACTACCTCGCATCAAATTCAACTATACATAACACTGATGATATAAGCAATGCTCTTATTGATCTACCGATGGATCGTAAGTTTTATTTTGATATTTATATTTAAAATTTCGAGACATTATTTGACGTCATTTGAGTACTTATCATGAAAATCTTCTGAGTAAAATTGTTTATCAAGAAAATAAAGAAGGTACATCTCAAACTAGACATTGAAAGAAATACCTTTGGAATAAATAAATTTTGTTTAATCTAAAAAGGATTTAGTTTGACAGAGTTTAATAATAAATAAAAAAATAATTATCATAATAAATTGATATTTTTTTTTCTCAGAATTTCCTATTTACGACTCGGTCATCACTCATGAACCTGCATCACCCTGTGACAATGAAGACATAAGTAAATTCATATCATCAATATCATTTCAAGAAATACCAAGACAAAGTATAATAGAAGATACCATGGAAAGAATGACTTTAACTTCATCACAAACAGGTTGGTATAAATTTATTTAATATATGTTTTTTTTTATGATGAGATTTTTTTTATTCATCAGATATTTTATCATCACCAAGTTCTGTTCAAATTGGCAGTTCACCAATTGAACAAAAAGAAATCGATAGTAAGAAAAATTCATTAACTATTAAATTTTATTAACTGTCGTTTTTTTTTCTTATTTAATTTTAGTGTCAATTCTTACAACACAATATATTCAACAACAACACCGCATCCTTAAAAGTTCATCAAAACCTAAAAGAAGTTCCAGTAAGTTGATGTATACATAAATTCATCTCTGATCATCTTCTATTTGTCTTTAGAGAATCAACAATCTTCATCGAGTGTTGCTCCCATTGATATTCTTTCAAGTACGTTAACGTTAATAAAGAAATCTTCATAATACTTATGGGTATCGTTTGTTTTTTTCAGGTTATGGTGGATGTCAACCGTGTACTACAGAACAAATGTATAGTGATTTTGAATATCAACAGAGTATGTATTTTTTAAAAATATTTTAAATAATAAATTATTTTCTATATTTAGTCCTTCAATTCGATTCAATGGAATCAAAACAAATTGAATTAAAATCTCAGCCACGTTCAAAATTCCGTCCACGCACACAAAATGAAAGTAGGAGTGCATCACATTATATTCGATGTGCAGTACATGATCAATATGAATATCCAACAATTTATGTATGTTGATTAATATCCATATCGTCCATGTAGGAATCATTTTTATCTTCTTTTTTAGATACCTCGCATATGGGCACAGCAATCGGTTAAAAATATAATTGAAGTTACTCTTGTTGGAATAGATGGACAATCACATCCATATACAATTGATAATAAAACTTGCAGCAATTCATTCGATGATGCTGCATTGATCTTTAGACAAAATGAACCTAATACATTATATTTTTGTGTAACCAATGAAGATTTTAAGAACGAATATAAAACGTAAATTTTATTTTGAATTCAAAATGTTTACTGTTATTTTCATTTTATTTATAGTTTTATGATTGAATATATCAAAAGTAAACAAGATGATAATATAACAAAAGATTTAATTAAAACACGACAACTTGATCAATCAAGACTTCGCTTTACACGCATATATCAAGCTGAAAAAGATACATATCAACGAGATGAAGCTAGTATCGCATATTCTTGTGTAATGAGTGAAGGTAAGAAATTTTATTTTTTGTTTATTTGTTCGAAAAGAATTTTATTCATTGTTATTTTTTAGCTTATGGTGATGTTGGTGTTGAACATATGGGTCCAGCATATGGACCAATGGGTGGCAATGAAAGAGTATATACTCTTCTTAAAGGTCGTATTATGAAAGATGATATAACTATACTGATAACAGAAAACCGAACTGGTTGGCATCAATCATTGCCGTTTACAAAAAACGGAAACCTTGTTTTTTTTTCAATGCCTCCTTATCCATTTCCACGAAGTGATCAAGCTGTAGCAAGTATTACTGTATATTATAAGGGAGAAGAAATTTATCAATCATCTTATTTATATAAAGCATCATTAGATCGTAAGTCACTTTTTTTTTTGTTATGTTTACCTTTATAATTATTTCTTTGTAGAAGCATTAGCTGAACTTAGTATAAGTGATTCAACTTCAACTGTTAATGATTCATTGGCATCCGATGCTTTTAATTTCTTTTCAGCTACCGGTGCATGTCCAGTTCGAATTTCATCTAGAAAATCATCAACAGCAAAACCTGCAAAACGTTTAAATAAAAAATAGATAAATATATAAAAAAACCAAAACGGTGAAGTTCTTTGGCGTTATTTTTGTATTAAGACCAATTATATTTTATTTTGGACAATGTCACAAAAAATTATTCTGGTGACTGTGTGAATATATTTCTTATATTAACTTTGTGTTTGTGTGTTTACTATAAACTTAGATGGTAGTGAAGCATTCTTTTTTCAATACTTTAAAAGAAAACAAAAAAAAAACATTCGCACAGCTGTTATGTTTTACTTTTATCGTATTCTTTTTTTTTCGGTTTTGCTTTTTGTTTCTTGTATATAATATATGTATGTGCAAGCATAAAAAATAAAAAAAGGCAATGTGCTAGGATGGTAATAATATCATTTCAAGGAGGTAACATTGTACTTGCAAATAGAATCAACAACAAGTTTTATACCAAATTAAAGTACGTTAAAAATGTGATTTATCAATACTAAATAGTTAGAGTTATGGCAACTTCTCAGTATTCAATTGAGAAAAGTCCTTCTTATGCGACAGTTCAAACTAAATCTCATTTAAAATGATGAACATAACACAGTAATATTTATTTATTTAAGGCTTGGTGAATATAATCATTAATCAGTGTGAAGACACTTGACGTTCTTTAGAGTATCGAGACGAGACGTATACGAACATGAGAAAGTTTTTCACAACTCAATATTTATTTCCATTTTTGTCAAAACATATGAAATATATTTTTTGGCTTTTAAACTCCATTTTTGGTTCTTTGCTCCCATGTTTCCTAGTCAGGTGCCGATTACTTTGTGATAATCATCGTTTTAAATGAGATCTAGTTTGAACTGCCTCATGAAATGGAGCTTTCTGTGCCGATATGGCGTTGAATTCAGGATGTTTCTCACTTTGAAACTGAGAAGTTGCCATAATCGTTGCTATTTAGTACTAATAAATTCCATTTTTCACGCGCTTTAGTTTGGTATCAAATTTGTTGTTGATGCTATTTGAAAGTACAGTGTTTTTCCAACAGATGGAATTTGAAAAAAAAGTTTCTCTTGATTCTACAAAACAATAGAGCAGCTAATTGTCTATAAAATAAGATGTTTGGCAGCTTTCGACGATATTTTTCAAAAGAACTACATCGATATTAAAAAAAGCCCAAAAGATAGTTTTTTCGCCATTTCGTGAGGGAAAGCTGGACTCAAAGGACTTGTGAACTTTTTTTAAATTAATGTAATTCAGTCAAAAAATGTCGCGCAAAGCTTGAATATAGGTTTGTTTAGAATTAGTTGCTCTATCGTCCTATGCAATCAAAAAAGCATTTATTTTCGAGTTCAAAGTGCTAAAAGTCTAATTGAGAAAGTTTTCTAGAATTCTAAATTTTCAGAATATCCTTAGGATTATATTTTCTTCAAATTCTTATTCGAAAGAATTTTCTCTATTCAAGTTATTATTTGGATTCTTTATGTGATTTACCATTACGACAAAGATCGAAATTATATATGTGTGATCCTTTTTTCGGAATCACTAGATATATATCAGTCAAACAAAAAAAATTCGGGTTTTGGTGGAGTCCAAGTTCCACAGAAAATGCTGACGGAGTCGTAGTCGTAAAAGTTTCACTTCGCAGCGCTCTACAATACAACGCCGTATTATCATATTAATTTTGACCGTGTTTCATCCTATTTTCTCGTCTTATTTTAACAACCGATTTTTTACTAGAAGTAAACAACAGTTGTTTCTCTCAATATGTTCACCAACTTATAGAATAGCGGGAGATGACAATGTAATAGTACTGATATTCACCATTTTATATAATTTACGACGCTCTTTCTCTCGAATCTGGTTTTTTTCTTAATACAATATGCATTAATGTGATTGTAAGTATGAATATAGATATGCGTATGAGTTCAAGTTTTCTTCTTCTCTTCATTCACACTCTCCACGATTGAAGAAATAGAACAAAATGGTCCTATTTTCAACTACATTGCTTCACGTAAAATATTGATCGTGTGCCACCCATATTATCCTACGAAAGTTTTGAGTACTATATTCGAAAAAGTACAGTATATCAGTATTTAATGGAAGCTACTGAAAATGATGTATTTTACGATGAAATATTTCTCGAACACTTATTAAGCTACTTTATTGAAATATGTTTAATGAAAGAACATCTGAAGTTACTGTTCAAATATTGAGCTGGATTTGCGACTTGATATTCTGTGGTCTATATTAAATCAATTTTAGATTTGTTGACTGTCAGATCATATTTTTGACATTTGCGTTATCTTCTGTATTTTTAACATATTACTCTTCAAAAATTGACGGGATTTAGTTGCTTCTCGTGGCTTTTGTATTTTCTCTTTCACTTGAATCAAGTGAAAGAGAAAATAAAATATATTTAAAGAGAAACTGATCTAGGTCCAAGAGAAAAAAAATACCTCGTAAAGAGAAACTCAATCAGATTAAAGAGAAAATTAATACAATCCAAAGAGAAACTAAATCAAGTGATTTGATTCAGCTTCTCATTGATAGAAAGTAGCTGCTTTTCTTTGCAAAATTACTAACGAAGCTTTGCTTTTACATAGACAATTTGTTTCACTGAACTATTAAAAATCTTAGTTATCCTTAGCAGAAAAGCTCAAGAAAAAAATGCAGAACGTAAGAAAACTTTAGTTTCCTCCTCGGAATTGTATGCTATGATAATTATATTGATTGTAATTCAATTTAACTTGGTATCCCATTTTGATGTTCTAATCTTTAACTATTCGTTACTATTCGTAAGATGTAACCCATTGAAGATAGTATTCCAGCTTTACATGCGTCAAGTCGGTAAAAAGAATACTTTTAGCGGCGTGCTGCAGTTAGTTCAATCCACTAGTTGAGTATCCATAAACAGGTCGTATTTACATCATTTTCGTATTGTAATATCTACAATATATATCATAAGTGAGCGTTTTATAGACTGGATTTACATTCATCATACAACCATATTAATTGTTTTCTTTTTAGTTTTATGGTATCAAACTGCACGTCATTGAATCGAATTAGTCAACCCGTCTACCATACGTTCTAGTCTGTATTTAGAATAGTTTGGTCGAAACCAAGACTTCAAAAATTTTTCTCTATGATGATTAAGGCTAGCAAGCGACAGTCCTATTATCTATAGCAGCCAATCACTTAACAAAAAAACGACAAATGAACAATTTTTCTTTTCTCGACCCAAATAATAAACAAACCAATGTTGACCATGATGAAGTTTAGTAGATATTGATATTTCAGAATAGCACATCCTTATGTCATTTAAAGCTACACGAAAACTACCGATTGATGTGTCAAACAACTGAAAAATGTAACTAACTATAATAAAGAACAAAGAATACTACATAACATACGAGCAAACGAATGAATGACTAAAATTATGTCAATGTTAAGATTATTCGAACGCAACGTGATTATTTATATGAGATGAAACTCATTAGTAGCAATTTTGTATGTATTACAGAACAGCGTTTCCTTATAGATTTGGCAGATTTTTATAATACGGTGTAATTAAAGAACGAATATGGCATCAAAACGACCTCATATGTACAATATCGTATAAGATGATCCATCAGGTGCTGTAAACGCTTCATACTTGACACATAACTCCTTCATCAATGAATACTTGTAAATAGATATCTATGTCGGATCTGAAACCATAGTTATAATTATTTCAATCCATGGCTTTTCAACTCGATAGCAGAAAATTGTAAGAATGATTCATAAGTTTTTATATTAACATTTTCTTGGAAGCCTCATTGATTAATTTCTTTGTAATGTTGTATAGAATTGAAAAATTCTTGAACTAATCTTCTAATATGAAAATTAAAACGAACAAGTAATAGAATTTAAATAGTTTTGAAAAGTAAATCAAAGTTCCTTGGTTATTTGAAAAAAATAAATTAAAAGAACATAAGTTTATATGAAATATTTTTCTTGTTCCAAATAAAGATTCTTCTTTAGAACGATACCAATGCAAAACACTTCTAATCCAATTTCTTATATGGAAACGAAGGAAGAAAGAGAAAGATATTTGAATTCATTTATTTTCACATGAATATGCATGAGATGTATCAATACGTATGAATTTTTGATAGGACAATTTTACTAATGAGTTACTAAGAAAGGGTTTATGTATAACATTCTCGTCACTTGTGCATTATGATTCAACGTAAAAAAGAAGAAATCCTGATCAGGCAATATGATATTTTATTGTAGCATAAATATGCTACTTGCGACACGACCTGAATATAGTCATAAATTATTGACCATCAAGGTCGTTGATTACAGTCACCGAAATGGTCAAAAAGCTATACTATGTACTCTTGTTTCGTATAGTTTGTGATTGTAAATAACTGTAAATAGACATTTATTAGGCAGAGTATTACAAACGTATTTTATCGTACTCTACGCAATTAATAATGGTAGTCAAACTGCCTGAAAACCGAGTATTCGACCGTTTACAATGCAGTAAAGTTCGATCATAATACTGCGCCTACCACACAACGACACGACCATGTAAAACAGCTGCTTGCGGAAAATAGCAACGCAATGACGCCGACTTTCGCCGTCTATATCACTTATGACGCTGTTTTCTTGGACCTGAATAACAAAGGATGACTATTGTACGCTGGTCGTTGATTATTCCTATCTTCTAATTGTCACTCCAATGATTTACTTTGATTGAAGAAGGTTTTCACTAGAAAATGCAAGATAGTCATGCTAGTTTTAATTTCAATTAATTAATATATTAAACACTTATATGAAACAAACATAATCCACAACTTACATTGAAATTTTTATTTGAAAAGAGAAATATTGTCTTTTTTAAATTACTTCTTCAAAACAAAAAAAAAGAGACTTACCGTAGTTAATATCATTCAGTTCTGTGTTTAAATGTTTCATCTATATTAGTTAGTTGTATATATAATGCTTGAATCCTTTTTTCAAATGATTAGAAGCTGATAGGGATCATCTTATTTTATACCATCCAGCTTTACTTTACTTATAGCAACTGTTTTTATACGAGATCTCATCTCACCATAAAAGTAAAATAAACATTACTCATGGCATGCTAGTATCGTTTATTACGTGATATTAATCGAAGAAAAAGATGATTAACAGAGATGATAGTTTTTGCTATAATAATCATAGTATTCATTGGGTTTCTTCAAACATTTAGTTCTTCCAGATTGTAATCCTATTTATAAATCAGGAGAAACATACTGACGATTGTTTATTACATGTAATAGCTGATACTCAAATTACATTGAAATGAAATAATTTTTCACATTATAACATAGAACGATAGCTTTTATAATCAGAAAAAGTTTAATTGAAAATAAAAATCAAAACAAATAATGAAAAATAACATTTTTCCCCATCATGTAGGAAGAAATAAAATATAGTAGAACAAATATTGTTTATTACAATTTAACTCATTAGACAACTTCGTGCGTTTTTTCTTAGATATCATTTAAGAGAATTACTCATAGATCCAAGCGTCTACTATATTTTCGTTTGTATTGTCTTGGATCTTAACAAATGCTGCAGTTGTCTGAAATCTGTTTTTAGCTTCTGCTAAATATAATATTTTCCCAAAACTAGTGTCTAATGATTGATACAATATACTTTTCACATAGTATATGTAAAGAAATATGTATCTCATAATCATTGTCTAGAACTAGTTTCAGTTTCTTTTAAAGTTAATTATATTTGAATTACTTTTTGAACCAGATTGAGTTCTTCTATCAATCAAATAATTTCAATAATTTGTTGAGTAAAACTAATTAAGATATTATCAACAAATTGCTAATCCTAACCATGATATTACAATTTAGTACAGAACTGTGGATGCAATCTTTTATGTGTCCGAACCTGAATCTATATTGAAAAAAAAGATGAATTTTTGAATCTAAGTGCAACCCAGAACTTGCCGAGTTCTGTTTTGAAAACATCCGTAGCTCTTTACAAGTCAGTATATAGTTACTTTTGATAGAAAGATAAGACATAGACATGATCTTTTTAAAAGTTTTCGTGTCTATCTATTTTATATTTCATGTAAAATGGATTAATTCTCATAATCATATTCATAATCGGTATTTTTTTTCAATAATACTGACTTCTATTCTGTTTCACACTCAATCTACTATGTATTAATGTTGATAGCGTCATCAATGAATAAGGCTTCATGATGGAAAGAGAATGTGTGGTGTATCCCTTCTTTTTATTGACGCATGATGGTGAATGATTGCGTTAGTCAGAGTGACGCACGTTGTAGAAATAAATATACAGAAAAGAAAGAATTCTACACCTATTTCATTTTCAAGCAATGAAAGCAAACAGATACAATGAGTTATATACACCATATTCCAAGCAAAATCAATTTGAATTTCAACGACAGATAGCCACAAAAACCATTTGTTGTCCTATTATTTACAATTTTATCCTGCTTTGTGATGCCACATTGTTATTTGTAGTCATAATGTCTTATGAAACTTACGATTCTTTTTCATATTAATTGAATTCCAAATATGTTCACGTTGTGTCTTAAGATTGGTACATAACTACAAATGTCAAAACAAGAATTACTTATAAGGCGTAGAGTTGCAGAATTCGAATGAATACTAATTTTGAAATCTAAGTGTCAAAGTTATTAAAACATTCAATTCTTTAAAATGAACCTGTCAGACAAGATGATCATGCTTCATTTGAAAAGTCACCTATCCTGTTTTGTAGAGCAACTTGTGACACATTGCATTGTATGTAGCAAATTAAATATTCATCAAATTTCGAACTTATTGAGAAGGTATAATCCACTTAAGAAATATGACAGTCATTGTGAGTAATATTACAAAATATTATGACTCAATATATTCCCAAAACAACTGATATAAAACTTTATTTAAAGTTTACTCAACTAGAGTTTTGATTTGTTTCAAATCGTATATATATAATAATTCTCATAATAGCTTTCTTTATTTCAAAAACTTTACCCAGGTTCATCTTGACAACTGTCGCAAACGACCTGTAACACTAGTATTTCATACAGTTCGAATTAAGTCTTAATTTTCTATTCTGTTAAAACAGCTCAGTTCGTCTATGTTAATGGCTGTTTATCAAGGAATACGATAGAAATAGATAACCGTTAATTAAACGGTCTTCAACCCCCGTATTGTCACGATAGGCGTTACCAGCTACTCTTCATGATCATTTTTTTACGATGATCATGGGGTGTGAGTGTAAGTGTGGGTATTATTGGTAAACGACCCACACCCAAAATTTTTTGCTACTTTTGGAAGTTTCCAGAACAAGTAGAAAAGTCCGATCTCAATATTTCAAAGTAGGAATCAATTACGATACTCATCGTACTTCATTCTATTCCAAAGTATTGAAATCAGACTCTTTTCTCTCTTGATCCAGTATTTGTTCACTGCGTCACCATATCAAATATTATCTTTTTCTTACCAAAAAGATAACATATCATTCGTTGGCTTTTTCCTTTTCTTTTATAACTATATATATTATATATCATTTAATGCTTATATGTAGTTTTGCCTTTTCTACCATTTATGTTAGTTATTTTTATCTTTGTTGTCCTATATATATGTGCTTCTGGAAGTTTTCAAGCTCTGTGTAACGGTTATTAATTGCTACACTTCTCTCCTCTTCCTATCTCAATAAGACTTTTTCATAGTATCGATAATGACAGTAAGTATTTCTCTTTGTCTTCTCTTGTATGACTAGTATATATAAATATGTGGTTGTACTAATATAGATGCAAGTGTAGTGATGCAATCGTTCAATAAACCTCATTATTGAGAGTAGCAATAAAGTTATTCTTTCAGGTTGTCACACTCGATTGTTCCTCTTGCCTTCCCTGTGTACCTTAACATATGTATTATTATTAATCAAATAGAACTCACGTTCACAAAATACATAAAACTTACAGAAAGATTCGTATATAGCAAATGTTAGGGCATGATGAGCTTACTAATAATAGATAGAAAATTTTTCGCTCAAAAAAGCTTTGCTACAAAATTGATAGACTTTATTACTTATAGGAATCGTATAGTTGACGTTTTACAGGCATTGATTGGATTCTGACGCACTTCAATTCAGAGGACGTCTACATAGTATACTTATACAGTTTGTGACATAATTTCTTAGAGGGTTGTACCATTGGTCACCTTTATCTCAAGGAACACCCTGAAGGAATCTAAAACATCATAAAAGTTAAAAACTACATAAGCAAAACTCTACTGAGTAAAATTTAAGCAGAGTTTTATATCAGTTGTCTTGAGGATATGTTGAGTTATAATATTTCGTAATATTACTCACAATGACTGTAATATTTCTTAAGTGGTTTATAGCTTCTCAATAAGTTAGAAATTTGATAAATATTTAATTTGCTATATGTCATTCAATGTGCCACAAGTTGTTCTACAAAATGGTATAAGTGACCTTTTCAATGAAGGGAGTTATCTTATCCAATAGGCTTCTTTTGAAGAATTGAGAATTTCTGAAGAAACCGAACTAATATGAACATATTTATGTCTTCTCATCAATCCTGTTGTTCCAGTAATAACTAAGAGATCTCAAATTAGAAATTTTCAATATTAAGGATGGAGGAGGACAACTAGTAACGATTGGGGTGAGAATGAGGACAAAGATCAGGATGAGGTTGAGTACGAAAATACCGGTCAAGATAGAATTGAGGGATGGAGCGAGAATGATAGTGAGAACAGAGATGAGGATGAAGGTGAGAACGAAGGTAGTGACCAGGATTTAGAATATGCTTGAGGATGACAATTAGATTATAATTTTGAAATAGACCGTATAATCGCTGTCATCGTAACTGTGAGTATACTAATATCACCGAAGTAACATTTCTTGGTTTTGTTCTTAAATTTCTTCTTTTTCTCTGATGACTTTCATTTATGCACACATATCAATCTTTAATTTCTGCTTCTTTGAATATCTTCATAGGTATTTTTTTTCGTCAAAAGTCTGAAGTCAGCAATTGATGTTTCAATAAAAACTAGAAAGAATTTGAGATTGATCAGGATTTATTATGAAAAAGACAAACACATTCGAAACTGATGTACATCTCTTGACAAAATTAATCTTTTTTCCTATATTATCCGACTAATAAAAAATATCGCATTGATTTTTTCTCTCTTGTAGTTTGTAAGTTATTCTTAGTACTGTAACTCCCATTATTTAGCGTACTGACTTTCTTTAAATGACTCATCAGTGTCTCGTAAACATTTTCTTGCATCGACATATGTATATCATTTTTCTATCAGATTTAGTTCATATTTATCGAAATATGGCGAAGATCTGAAAGAAGAGGTGTATGAATGTTGATAGAATTTCTGCTTTACTAAAAGTTTCTTATGCATTTGAATAATCTGTATAAGGACTTGTAATTAGTCTAAATGTCATAGCAGGATCTTTGCGCACAATGACGTTATTGTGCAAGTACATTTCAGCAGGTGACACTGACCTCACCGAATTTTACGCGTAGAGTTATATTTTGAAGCGTGAAAGTGATGACGATAGCACACGGGGTATGTTCAGATTTCCAAAAAAGAAAATTACCCATATTTTTGAAATTTCCATCAGCTCGATTACTATATAGCAGTGCAAATCAAAAGTTTTTAGATATATTGGAAATTTCAGCCATTTTGGAAATTTCTGTAAGTGCGTCATTGCGGAAATTACATCATTTTAGGAAGTAACGTGCAATTTCGAACATAAATACTTGAAATCTTCGAAACTTTCGAAGTTTCCTTTTTTTGAGAAGTCTGAACACGGCTGAATTTACGAAGAGTATCAAACAGCCACTTTATTTTTTGATGCAGCTATGATATTTTGCAGATTGCATTCAAAGAAACGATTGATAATTTTAGATAATTGCATAATCATGATGTCGAACATTGATAATTTGATTCAAGCACCAACTTCATCTTTTCCCTTCGAAGTAACACCAACAACACTCAAGAATGATCCAGTATATTCTGGAGTAATTTTAGTCTGAAAAAAATCAACAATTCAATTGTTCTATTTCGTTATTAGATATTAAACTTCTTACGCGACCCTTTGGCTACTACATTTGATGTACAACATATCAATGACATTAATAATGTTAATAGAAATGTTTCTCATACCGACATTAATCCATCCTTTGATTGTAAGTTGAAAAATTTTTAATGATATAACTCGATAGGTTAATAAGGTGATGTCATATTCACTAAGCAAAATGTATAATTTAGTCTATAACTTGACATCATCAAGAATAACTGTATATATATAATTTTAAATGAGTTCTAAATCTAAAACAAATGAAGAAAACGATAGAAATTATTTCTTTTTTTTATTGTAAAATATTTCTTCATATATCGTGAACAATGTATTTTCTGTTAACAAAGTGTTTTTCTATACTTATGTATATATTTTTAGTTTGTCAACATTCGACAACGGTAAATCCCGTTTATATTGTTCCAAGTATGTTTATGTAAAAAATAAGATTGACGACTATTAATGTTCCTCTAATAGGTACAAATAATAACCAAACATCCAGTAAAGAACAATTGGAATATCAATCAAGTATATAATTACATATACTAGTTTTTACTGATAAATTTTTGTTGGTGTTTATTTTTCGAATTTCAGTAAAACAATGCGATTATTCAAAATCTGGAAAAATTCAAATAAAAAATCATCCACGTACAAGATTTCGTCCACGAACTGAAAAAGAAAGCAAAGAATCATCACATTATTTACGTTGTGAAGATAATACTGAATCAGAATATCCAACTATTGATGTATAGTATTAATTATTAATACAAATAATTAAGAAACCTTTTTTTAATGTTCTAGATCCCTAAAACATGGAGTAATCAAACCGATATTATTCGAGTAACTCTCGTTGGAATCGACAAACAACCGCATCCATATACTATTGATAATAAAGAACGTAATATATCATCCTTAGTTTTCAAAAAACCAAATGAACCTCATTCATTATATTTTTTTGTAACTAAAGAAGATTACGATAAAGGCGAAAAGAGGTAAATCGATTTCGAAATTCTGAAATTTTATTATTTCCTATTTTATTATTTTCGTAGTTTTTTGATTGAATATATTAAACATAAACAAGATGATAAAATAACAAAAGATTTAATAAAAAGTCGACAACTCAATCAATCAATGCTTCAATTCACACGTTTTTATTTAATTGAAGATGGATCATATCTGTCGGACGAAACTAGCATTGAATATTCTCATATTATGACTGAACGTAAGGAAGAATGTTTTTATTATTTAACTTACAAAAATACAAATGAAAAATTTTTTTTCAGATTATGGTGACGTTACTATTGAAGATATATTTCCATTATATGGACCAATGTGTGGAAATCAAAAAGTTTGCATCGAATTGAAAGGTCCTATTACAAAAAATTACACAACTGATTTTATTATTACTATAAGCTGCAAAGATATTAACTGGTCACATCAAGTTCAAAATATAAAGAGAAGTGGTCATAACTTAATATTTCTTATGCCACCATTCCTTCATCAAAATATAGCTCGTGCTAAAGTAGACATTATCATTGTATATAAACAAGAAATAATTCAACAGTCCAATTATGTATATACAAAAAACTTAGATGGTATTTAAGAAAAATTTTTTTTTTATATAGTTATCCTTTTTTTAGATTCTTTTTTTGCAGTAGAATTAAATGAAAATAGTGGCAATGAATCAAATCGACTCGTTGTTATTAGACCTTCTTCATCAGATAATTGCAATCAAATACTCGGTGGATTTTCGACTTGGTCTTCCACTGGAATGTCATGTGAAAATCGTGCTATAAAACGCCCTAGACAATAAATAAATAAAAAATGTCAATTTGTGTTTCTTATTTATTCTATATATTTTTGAAAAGAAAAAGGAATTCTCGTTCATGCAAAATTCTTACTAAGTTCACAAGACATTTTTATTTTTTCCATAACTAACGCTACATTTGGTAAGTTCCGTTTGAATGATTTATTAACTTTTTTAATTAAGATTCTTTTAAAGGATATTTGTAGTTTATTTGTAATACGTAAAGTACTAAAAAAGTTTTTTCTTTCGAACCCAAGAGGAAACAACCTATTCCCGTGCTCTTTGAAGTGTAGGAAACACAAGAGCTCAATGGAAATACGAGAGCACAGCGAAAATACAAAACTGTCACAACAAGGGTGGGATGGAAGCATGTGAAGCACGTGAGAGAACCGCGAGAGTGCATAAGGTACGATAGTACGCCGCTATCAAGGTTGCCATATCTACTGCTTTTTCATGAGAGAAATTTTGGTTTTTTTTATTTACCCTTTAGCCTTCGCTTTTTTTCTCCCCTCCCCCCCCCCCCCCCCCCCCCCCCCCCTCCATAGCGGTTTCAGAAGAGTCACTGATAAAATAACTTTACAAATAGAGTATTAGCCTGTCAAATATGCCAATGGTGTGGGCTAATCCACCGAATGTCCTATTTCTGAAGGAGGATGGTTTGATTGATATAAAAATCATGTGGTAGAAAATGAGAATTGAACGACATCATAAGACTTAATCTTTTTTTCTTTGACCACATTATTGACTGGACAGAAGCAGAGTCTATCTCATACTGTTGAAGTGATAGGAAAAATGCAACGAATGAACCGATAGAAATTAATATAAAAGAATGCATGATTTTTTTACACATATTGTCAAATTTAAGCGTATCTTACTCTGAGCCATTTTGCAATGTCTGAAGGAATTTAATTCATCATAAATACTATTTCAACTTCTCATGAGTTGAGGTCTATAACGCATATATTAACTTTGTTCTTGATTACTCTTCATCTGTCTAACAGTGACTACATAGTCAATTGTATTCCTTAGTATGTATAATTCGTGGAGTTATCATGAAGCTTTTGAAGCATGTCTAATTCAGCAGTGGACTTTTTCAACGATTAATATCACACAGAAATCCCAAAAGACCTCTATCGACTGCAAGTGGAAAACATTTTGTTTAAAAAATTTCGAACTTTTGCATTTTTTTCAAAATTATTCATTTTGTAAGTCATATATCTCGAAGGTAGAGCAATGAAACAAAATATTTTTTTTTACCAATCGATAGCTTGTGAAGTTCCCTACAAATAATGTCTTGGGAGTTTTTCAATCTCATACATCCTTTATTTTCTGTGATCGTTCTACAAATTGGTCATATATGACCCATTGAGAAGTAAAGGGTTAAAAAAAACTTTGAGACAGTAGAGTCTGTGAATATCAAGTTGTTGCAGCTGTCGTCTACAGTTTATTCTTGCCTATATTATGTATACTATGTTCTATTCAAGCAAGTAAAGCCACAGTCGAAAGTGTTTTTTCGAATATGATACGTTTTTATCTAATGAGTTTTGCAATCGAATGTCAATAGATTCAATGATTATAGAAATACAGATTCTTTGAAACACTTTATTATCGTACAAACATGCATATGTGTTATCGCAAAAATAATTACTAACAGAAAAATCATTCAACAGTAAATGTAACGGCATGCCAAACTGATGTACTTCATAAAATATTCAAACCTCCTTATGTATTATTTATTATGTTTTGAGAAGTTTTAGAGTAAAGAAGTGGTATGAGAAGATCCAAAAGATTATTTGAACTCATGGGAATGTGAAGAGTCCACCAAAAAAAACAACTTTTCGCATTATTTCCGCTTTTCTGGCTTGACAAGCCTAATCGTTATCTTCTTGAATTTAGGTCTGAATTTTCCTTAGTTATAAAACTGTACTCAGGGAGTCCATAATCTGTGTACTTCTACTATATCCTCGTACTTCGAAGAGCATTGGAGAACGTCCTGTCTTCCTTGTCCTACTCTTTGAAATTTGTATATTGAGATCAAGTATTCTGCTAATAATGCATAAATATATTTAGCCTTATTCTTACATTTCTTACAGATTAGTCAGATATTATTTTTACTAAACGACTCATGAGAACAGTTTCGAACTATGATTTTATGTGAACAGAAAATCATAGTTCGAAACTATGATTTTATGTGAACAGAAAATCGATTCAATATATATGGAGAGTCATTGTGTTCTTAGTACAGACATAATAGGATCGAGAAGCTTCAAATCGAATAGTTCTCAAACGCTTGATGAATTTCAAAAGAGGAGATTTATGTTGTCCTTTAATTCATATTCATGCAGAAACAAGTGATACTGTTCCGAGTAATAATTGAAGATGATTCTTACTGAACATACGAAGTAAAAGAAAACGCTCTGTCCATAATTTCATCAGCAATTATTTCAATTAATTGTATTTGTTTTTAAAGTTTCTACGAAATTTTGTGTTCGACAAGTACGCTTTTAGCTCATCAATGACTGTAAACATTTCTATGTTCAATCGTCTCGTCATTTATTGTAGAAGTCTGAACAGACCAATTTCAATGTTATATTCAACAGTATCAGTAAACATCGATTATTGTTAGGTCATTAGAACAGAGAATAAGAAACATAATCGAATATTCGACTGTTATAAAAGAACACACGAGCAATCACAACGCATCAAAACAAAAGTTCAGACAAGTGTATCATTCGATTTTTTCTACAAACTGTGATCTAACCAAGTCCATATCATCCAGATATAGTAGATAGAAGTTAGCTTACCAATAGCTGACTAACGTAAACTTCCAACCAACATCAGAAATCTCTTGTTCTTTGTCGAATCTCGTTTGTTTACTATTAATATTTTATTTCTATTTTTTATTTTAGCTATCATCTTATTTGATCAATGTAGAACGAGAAAATTTATATTTATTAAATAAATTAACATAAATGATCTTTTATTGTTTCTTCATTATCATAATCTCAAAAAGTTTCTATCACTATATATTCCGTTTTTTAAACTAAATTAGTCGTTTGAAAAAAAAAGACATATCTAAATCGTTTATTAATATGTTAAAATGATACTTGAGTTAGATTCATTTCATAAAAGAAACAAAGAAGATTCTTATTACATATGTATATATATACTTATCTACAGAAATACATTGAGAACAATGAAAGACACACACACAATCTACAAAGATGATCTTTTAGTTTTCTGACAATATATAAGCCTGAAAGAAAACAGAAAAAAAAAAAATTTCTAATCTGACAGAATATTTCTTATTTATTTATTGATGTCGATAATAATTCATCATTGGATGTGCATGCCATATCCATTTCGCTTTTTGGGCAAGTATATCATTACGAAGATTTTGTGCAAAACAAATACCAAGTATCTTTTTTTTTTAAAAACAAAAAAGATATTATTAAAAAAATTTAAAAAACGAAAACGATTATTCTAGATATATTCACTTGTAGTACAGCAAGAACAACAACCACTATTGCCACTGGCAGAATGTGTCGTTCAAACCATTGAGATGCTTTCGGAAGACAACCATCAGTATAAATCATATGTGTACCCTACAATAAATATCGAATATATACACTGATAATTTTCGAATCATACTTCAATACGCAATTTTTTTGGAAGCTTTAGAACAAATCTGTTTAGAGCTCTGTAGAAGCTGAGGAAAGATCGATATGTAGCTATGCAAACCACAAATCATCATAAACATTCTTGTTTGGAGGAGAAAGTGTCTCGACGACGAAACTTTACTTCGTTGTAAGGGAAGCGGTCAACTATTTTACGGTTCTGAAAGAGTCGCAGTCGATTCTCTATCAGAATGAGTCGCTTCGACGGAAATTACTCGTTGGACTATCAAATACAATGTCCTCTTGATAAAACAAAACACGACAGTGTCAGACTTGATTCGACAAAAACATTGAAACAAAATTGTTTAATGACGGAGGTGAACATATATTCTTGTGCAAGATACAGTGCCAAATCGAATGTATTAGTTAGGAAAACACTTAGCTCTATACCTAAATTATTATGTAGAAGTAGAAAGATAGGAGTATCAAGAGGCCAAAGGACCACAAACGCGAAAATTGCAGCTGAATAATACTGATTGAAAGAACCTCTCATGAGTTATTTAGAAAGACAATTCGCTAACGATCAATAAATTCAAGAGTCAAGCTCCAACGAATTCCGAAAACCGAAGAGAAAATCATGCTATAGAGCAGCTCTAATAGTATGACTTCTGTTGAATGGTATTCATTCAAAAGGATATCGACAACCATTACTACATTCCAACCATTGCAGTTCATCTCATCCGGAATTCCAGAAAGTAATTCTGCCTATCTTTGGGATTGGAACAAGAAAGAAGTCTCAAATACAGAATTCAAGCAGTGAAATAATTTTTACTAAAAGAACTATTTTTAATGGTTGGCTGATCTTCAAACATTTCTGACATAAATTCAATCCAGAATCTCTAGTTGGTTCTCCGCCGTCGTGTTCAGAAGCGAAAATCGTCAAAATCTCGATAAACTGAATCTATTTATGCGTGAGAAGTGCTACAAAATCAGCTGGATCATTCTAAATCATTTGATAAATTCGCGATAATTATCTTTGATTAATTCGTAGAGAACGGGAACCACCTTTTAATTGCAGTACTTTTTTACGTTCTACTATGCACTATTTGTAATTATCATTGGTTTTCATATTCATCGTATGTATCCTGTGCAGTACTTAAAACACTGGAGGAAAAGACTTATGCAACTGGCTGTAACTCATATTATTCTTTCAACTCATACGTTAAAGTCATAATTAATTTCTTTTTATCTCTTCTCTTCAAATTTCAATATAAACTTACAGCTGATGATTCTAAAGTTCCATAACCACATTGTTTATTATTCTAAAAAGAAATCAACAAACAATTCAATTTTCTATTCATAAACAATCAATAATAATCATTTACATGA